ATACTTCGCTGGGTGTCCCAGTGTAGGACTCGTCCTGCTTATATTTACTTCTTTATACACAATAACTATGTATAGATCTGTTTTCAGTCAGACGTTTGAGACGGATGAAGGTGAAATATCGGTGGAGCAGTATTTCAAAGAGCGATATAAACGTACACTGCGTTATCCTGACCTCCCGCTGGCCACAGAGCGTAAAGCTGGGAAAGGTTTCAGTTTCTTTCCCCTCGAGGTGCTGTGCATTGAGAGAGGTCAACGAGTGGATAACAAGAAACTCGCAGGAAAACTCGTTAGTCTTATAATGACGTACTACCCTTTTCTCTTGTATTGAACTAAACAAATCATTTTCAGACTGACAGAATGATTCAACAAGCCCGTATGCTGCCTCACGAAATGCGTGCACACAATTCGCGTCAACTAGAAGAAGCGAATCTCATAAAATGCAGAAATGAGTATCTCGCAGCATTTGGGGTTAGTTGTACTTGCTTCCATTCAGAGCGACATGTGCTCAAAGATGCTGATTTTCACAGTTCTCCTGATTCGGAGTATGTTGGGCTGGCCTGTTTGTGAAGATGTACTCAGAGCGTGGTACTACTGTGATTCCCTTCTCTTGTTTCAGGTCCGCACAGCCGATAGTTTCGTAAAAAGCGAAGCAAAAGTATTGTGTGCTCGAGAGGTGGTGTAGTGGCAAGTGGCTCACACACTATGCTCGCGGTTTGGTGGTCGGACTGCGGCTCGGATCAAGTCCAATCCAACCAAGCCTTCCACCTTACGGAGATGCTGAATTGGCACCAGATTCGCCTGAGAGTATAACCAGAAACAAACAGAATTCGCCTGTTATCCCCAGACGAACCATCATTGTCTCGCCAACCCCCAGGCTCCTCAGTGAGGTAGGGTTGGCGAAACAAGGACACGGACTACATAGGGGGGAGTTGAGGGTCTCCCTAAAGCACTTGACTCGTACATAGGCTGACCCCTGCATGCCATCAAGTAGACCGAACCGCATTCAAATGCCATCACGATTCTGAACTGGAGTGAAATAAGCGGCTTATTCAGAAAGAGGTTGATCAGCGCATTTTTGAGGTTCTGCCTTTTAATGAAGGTCGATCGGGTGCTTTTCCAAGGCATTCAAAAAGCATGTGGATGATTAAATATTAACCACTGAACAAGCCTTTTGGGAAGCGCCATGAACTCTACCCTCATTCTGCATTGTGTAGGCGTTTGTGTGACTTTTTTTCAAGAATTACTGTGAGTGAAACGCCCGCTAACGTTGGAGCAGTACCAGTTCTTATCTACCGATATGGGTTTAACAAGACACGATCGCCATAAGAGAACGCCTAGATTGCACGAGATTCGATCCTAATATTCGCGTATGTGACAATAGCACCTCATGCTTGTCCGCCACTTTCGCACAAAGGCGCAAACCGAAAGTAAATTACTGAACTTGTAATTGAATTTAAGAGCAAAAAAATGAAAAAAGGTGAATTTTCATCGTCCAGAAGAGGACAAGAGCAAGCTTTGAAAGTAGCTTCAGAAATGTGCATACAGTACATGAAAAGAGAGGTGCAGCACGCAGGGTACAGTATCGTGATGTGTGAAATGGTGGTGTCAGTACGACCCCCCACCTAAAGGAGGGTCTCGGTACGACCCCCCTCCCTTCCCCAACACCTACCTACCACTTTCCTACAAATTCCCAGCTTCCTACCAGTTTTTCCAGAATTTCCCGAAAACTTCCCCGCTTTTCCCCAAGAGTTTTGCTGTCGAGCGAGCGGAGGGAGGAACCAATGCGAAACGGGAAAACCGCGAAAAGTCAACAACCGAAACGCGGCAAGCGTATCGACGCCCCATGTGTTCCCTCACCACAACGCATTCCTGTACCCCTGGCAGATGCCGCTTGGCTGGCCGGGCACCAATGCACTCTGGGAACTCAATTCCGGTCACTCTTTATGGAGCCCTGCGAACTCTGTAGCCAAAATAATTCACTTGTGCCGTTCCGCAGCTTCGCGGCAGTTTACAAGTCTCGCCACGCGAACCTGTCACCTAACACGAACAGGCAAAAAGAGCTCCCGAATATGCAAAATACCCTCCCAAGCCGAACAGTGCCAAGAAAAACGTGTGCATAGCGAAGAGGTCAAGGGAATTCGTCCGATGGAGCTGGTCAAAGAATAAAGAACTGGCGTTTCGTGACGAAAGGAATGTGCAAAAAAGGGTCAGGTGACTACCTTTTAGAAAGTATTTTAACGCCGAATGAATAACGGTTGTCTCTTACGCACTAATTCCACCAGTGCGAGAATCTGTCGCGGATGAGACATCACGCTAGAAAACAGAGAAGAGAAACACGTTTTCTATACCCATGGGCCATTTAGGTGAGCCAGCCTTCATGGGAAACGAAAGGAAAGGGGGGGGGGAAGAACTGCTGTGAAACTCCTACCCACGCATTTATCAGTTCGAGCTCGTGCGCACCATGAACCCTCGAATTCTTTTCATCAACGAGTAGTAACTCAATTATAATGTGACCGACAATAAGATCAATAATACTATACAAATCAACAACTTATTTTTCGTGGAGTAATAAATGAGAATAAATAGGTGAGCAGCTGAGGGACGGAGGTGGTGTCACGGCAAATGGCTCGCTCACCACACGCGTGGCCCGAGGGTCAAATCCAGGATCGGATCGGCTCCTGTCCGCTCCAGCTAAACCCGCCGTTCCACAGACGCCGATAAGATGGCATCAGCTTTGCGTGTGAGTATGAAACTTTCTCACTTTTCCTATTTCAAGTGCGCTGCGGCTTCCCCACTTCCACTGCCCTCCCCGCGCTCGACGGCAGCTTTTTGGGAGAAAAGTAGAAGATCATTGCGGAGAAAAACTCTCGAAAAAAGGTGGGAAGTTGAGAAAATTCTGGAATATGGCAAGGCCGGAGGGGATGAGGAAGGGAGTCGGACCAGAGGAGCAGGTTTCAAAGAAGGGATGTCGTATTTCGTAAAAATTTCCCTCAAGGGCAGGACGTGACTTGGCCGAAGAAAAATTCGTGGCGCATACAGAAAAGTGATTGATCGACGACTGAAGCTTCATATTTTCATCCACTTTCTTATGAGAAAGTGGTTCTCATTTCAATAATTTTTTACAATTTTGAGTTTTGTGGTGTAAGCGTGCAATATAGTGTGGTAGTCCAGGTTTGAGTTCTGGCCGAGGGCAATCCTTTCGCCGACAACTTAGAATTCTTCGAATAATTTTCCGCTTTAGTACGGTCAGCATTGCACAACGAACAGCTTTTTCAACAGTGACACATTTGGGGGACGCTAGCAGAGAGAGGTGAGGGGAGGGTCGACTCTTCTGCAAAATTCATAGGAGTACTGTAGTGCTAAGCTTTGTACTTTTGCAAAATAGGAGTACTGTAGGGAGAAACTTTGTTTATGCAAGTGGGATTTGTGTTGGCTTTGACTGAATTGGATTTAAGTTTCGCACATTTGATTTTAATTCAATTGTAATTTTGGCAATCTAATTCAATTCACACAATTTAATTTCAAGTTTGGCCCGGGAGACTAACGGGCTCAGGCGAGAATAAAAATTTCCATCGAGAGAAATCCTAGTTTTGCACGAAAACTTCTCTGAATATACCCCGTCCAGCCAAGTTGCAGATTACATTCTAAATGTATAAGGCATGATAGTTTGATACTTGCTCGAAAACAGTAGCAGGGGTGCCATATTATGGGGAAAATGATGAAAAAGCTATGTTAGATGGCCAGAAAACTGAAGCCTCTGTTTTGCCGGCACTGGACGAGCATTTTTGGACGAGTTCTCCGTTGGCACCATGCCA